GCTATGAGTTGGAACCGACTCCACGGCACATAACCACCACAACCACACCATTTTTCCAACAGCATGTGTTAACTTTACGTATTTGTTACATTTTAGTAATTTTCACAATGTTTCAAAAGTTTCCATAATGCTATTGCACACTAAATAGTCTACAGTATAATATAAACATAACTTTTATATGCACTGGGAAATCAAAAAATTTGTGTGACTTACTGTATTGTGATATTTGCTTTGTTTTGGTGGTCTGGAACTGAAACCACAATAGCTCTGAGGTATGACTGTAATTTCCCAGCTTCCTTTGCAGCTATGGCAAGATCCTGTTGCCCAGCCCTGACTAATGAAATCTGAAGGAGAGTGTGCAGAGAACCTATAGGAAATATTTTCCTCCCCAATATTAAAAGATAGATACACGAGGAAAAGTTCCATGATAACTGCAGAAATGTGTTGTTGTTGTAAAGTGCTGTCGAGTTGGTTCCGACTCATCGGGACTCTCTATAGGGTTTCCGAGGAGCAGCTGGTGAGCTTGAACTGCCAACCTTGTGGCGCAAGCTGACTTTGCAGCCCAGTGCATTAGCCCACAGCACCACACCAGGATTCCATTGTTGTTATTAGGTGCCATTATAATTACATCATAACAAACATTGAGTCTTCCTCCATCCTTACAGTCATTACCGTGCTTAAGACCACTTTTGGAGCTACTGTGTCAATCCGCCTTTGTCTTTTTTGCTGACTTTGTATTAAACATGATGTCCTTCTCCAGGGACTAGTCCCTCCTAACAACATGTCCAAAGTACATGAGATGAGATCTCACATTCAAACTTTACTTTTTCCAACACAGATTTGTTTCTTCTTCTGGCAGTTGATGGCACATTTGGTATTCTTCACTGACATCATAATTCAATTGCACCAATTATCTAGTCTTCTTATTCACTGTCTAGCTTTTGCATGCATATGTGATTGAAAATACCACATCTTGGGTCAGGCATATAAACTTCAAATAAACTTTTTTTTCTATTTAAAGCTTTAAAGAGGCTTTGGTAGCAGATTTGCCCAATGCAAAGCATCATTTGCTTACTTGATTGCTATTTCTGTGAGTGTTGATTTTATCTGTGTAAAAGGAGATCCTTTACAACTTCATTCTGTCCTCCGTTTATCATGCTGTTTTTTTACTCGTCCAGATGTGAGGATTTTTGTTTTCTTTACACTACATTGTAATTCATACTAAAGGTTGTAGTCTTTGATCTTTGTCTGTAAATGTTTCAAGACCTCTTTGCTTTCAGCAAGCAAGTTCATCTGCATATTGCAGGTTGTTAATGAGCCTTCCTCCAATTCTGATGCTGAGTTATTCTTATATTTCAGCTTCTCAGATTATTTGTTTAGCATACAGAATGAATAAATATGGTAAAAGGATACAACCCTGACACACACCTTTCCTGATTTTTCTATGGGAATAACTGCCTCTTGATCTATCTATTTATCTATCTGTCTATCTATCTATCTATCTATCTATCTATCTATCTATCTATCTATCTACTCTGCAGGAGCACAATTAAGTGTTCTGGAATTCCCATTCTCCACAATGTCATTCATATTTATTTGGATGTATGCAGTAAAATGTCTTTGCTTAGTCAATAAAACACAAGTAAACACCTTACTGGTATTCTATGCTTTTAACCATGATCCATTTGACATGAGCAATGATATTCCTTGTTCCACAACCTCATCTGAGTCCTGTGTAAATTTCTGGTAGCTCCCTGCTGCAACCATTTTTGTATTATCTTCAGCAAAATTTTGCTTGCATGTGATATTAATGATATTGTTAGATAACATCCACCTTCTGTTAACTCACTTTTCTTTGTAATGGTCACAATATGGATCTCTTCCAGTCAGTTAGTCAGATACCTGTTTTCCAAATTTCTTTGCATAGATGCATGAGCACCTCCACTGCTGCATCAGTTTGTTGAAGATTTCAGTTTGTTCCATAAATTCCTGGAGGCTTGTTTTCCACCAGTGCTTTCAATGCAGTTTGGACATCTGTCTTCAGTATCATTGGTTCTTGATCAGATGCAACCTCTTGAAATGGCTGAGCATTAACCATTTCTTTTTGGTATGGTGACTCTGTATTCTTTCCATCCTCTTTTGATGCATTCTGTATGATTCAATATTTTTCCCATAGGATCTTTCAGTAATTCAAGTCAAGTCTTGAATTTTTTCTTCAGTTGTTTCAGGTTGAGAAACACTGGACATGTTCTTTCCTTTTGGTTTTCTAATTCCTGATCTTTGCATATATCATTATAATATTTTACTTTGCCTTCTGGAAATTTCAATTCAGCTTATTTGCTTTTTCATTTCTTCCGTTTGCTTTAGTTTCTCTATGTTAAAGAGCAAGTTTCACAGTCTCTTGTGACATTCATTTTGGTCTTTGTGACATTCATTTCTGTCTTGTCTTTTTAATGACCGTTTGCCTTCCTCAGGGTCTATGTTCTATCATGCACTCTCCAGCATCATTTCTATCACTAAGGCCTTATTTTCCATCTGTTGAACCTTCCTTTTGTTTCCAACCTTTGTATTCCAGTCGCCAGTAATTATCAATGCATCTTGATTGCATGTTTGATCAATTTCAGACTAAAGAAGTTGGTAGAATTCTTCAATTTCATCATCACTGGTTTTAATGGTTGGTGTTTTAATTTGAATAATAGTGGTATTAACTGGTTTCCTTACAGGCATATGGTTATTGTCCTATCACAGACAGCATTGTATTTCAAGACAGATTGTGAAATGCTTATTTGATGATGAATGTGACACCATTCCTCTTCAATATTTTGTTCCTGGCTTAGTAAACTATTACTATCTGATTCATAATGGCAAATAGTAGTCCATTTTAACTCACCAATGCCTAGGATATTGATCTTTATGCACTACATTTCATTTTTTACAAATTCCAATTTTCATTGATTCATACTTCATAAATTTCATGTTATGACTATTAATTAACGTTTGCAGCTGTTTTTCCACATTTTAATTAGTATT